ATTTATATTGAGGGATGGATCTTCCCTGGGCATGGATCTTGCCCGAAGCATTTATATTGATGGATGGATTTTTCCTGGACATGGATCTTGTCTGAATCAGTTATATTTGGGGATGGATCTTTCCCTGGGCTAGATTGGTCTTATACAGTACTGAGTGACTAACTGTCAGTTGATGGATATACATGTATATTCGGGATGGATCTTCCTTGGGTTGGATTAGCCATATACAATACTGAGTGATTTAGTATTTTACATCGTGAGTACACAGAGTTTTCACTAAGGTGCATCACACAGTATGTACATTGGCATGTAGATACATAGATGTCATATTCCCTACATTGTTCAGAATTGATCTATTTTATTTGTACAGAGAGTAACTCTTGAACTTGAAAGCATGCCTATATTTTTGTATTGTTATTTCTATAATGGACTGTACATGCTGAGTTCGTCACTACTTTCAGCCCAAAAGTTAGTTTTGTTACTTATTGAGTTGGTTGTACTCATACTACATTCTGCACCTCGTGTGCAGATTCAGGTGCTCCCAGATACAGCGGTTGCTAGATTTCGGAATTTATTCTGTGGAGATTATCAAGGTAGCTGCTTGGCGTCCGCAGACTTTGACTCCCTTCCTTTTTAGTTATTGTACTGTTTTATATTTTCAGACAGTGATTTTATCAGTCAGACCTTGTATTCATTTAGATGCTCATGTACTCAGTGACACCGAATTTTGGGAGTGTTTATATATGTATTTGTGAGTTTTCTTTCGCTGAATTTAGATATTATGTTTTCAAACTTAAAAGATTTGGTGATTTATTGAGATTGTCGGCTTTCCTAGTATTGAGATAGGCGCCATCACGACAGGTGAGATTTCAGGTCGTGACAGTGAACCTATCCACTGACCAGAATCCTTTGTTGTTTTGTCCTTTGGCCCTCTCGTATGGGATCAATCGGCCCTTAGAAGATGCCAATCTACGTCAAAATTATCTTCCGATTTATCCCTGTTCTTTTCTCTATCCCAACCCTTGGTCGATGTCGGGAACCCGAGCATTTGTTATCCTTATCTTTGATTCATAACGGTTATGGACATCTGCCCATGTAGTTGCGTGGAAGTCGAGCAGGCTTTCCTTCAACTTTTGGGAGGCGTCAGAGCTCCTCGGTTTCAACCCCTTAGTAAATACCTCAGTTGCCCATTCATCTGGCATGGCTGGTAACAACATCCCTTATTTCTGGAATCCCATCATGAATTAGCGCAGCAATTCAGACTCTACTTGCAAAATTCTGAATATGTCCGCCTTCCGGGCCTGGACCTTCCTGGCCCGGGCATGTGCCTTGATGAAAATATTTGCAAGCATCTCAAAGGAATTTATTGAGTGTTCGGGTAAGAGTGAATACCATGTTAAGGCCCTTTCGTGAGGGTTTCCCCGAATTTCTTCAGCAGGACCGACTCAATCTCATGTTGGGCCAAGTCGTTTCCTTTTACCGTCGTTGTATAAGTTGTGATGTGCTCCTGAGGGTTCTGAAGTCCCATCATACTTCGGTATGTCCAGTATTTTGAACCTTTTCGGAATCAATTATGGTGTTATGCTCGGTTTGAACAACAATTGGGTGTACTTCTTCGTGTCTGGATCCTTCAACACTGGTGGTGCGCCCGGATTTTGGTCCATTCGAGCGTGGAACTCTTTCGCGTTCTGATCCATCCGCTCATTCATTTCCCTCATAAACCTCATGAGTTCAATTTTGAAGGAATCATTGTTATTGTCGTTACCAGCTCCGTCGAATCCAACCTCACCCCTCGGGGTGTTGTTATCGACTCTTTGAGTTGTTTGATTTACGGGAGCGCCGGGAGGAATAGGGCCTCTTCCATTCGCATTGTTGGAAGCGCCTGAAAATGCCTGCTTTAGTTCCGTCAAGGCCTGATCTTGCCTTGAGAGATGACCCATGTTGGCCTTTTGCTGCTCTCTCAAGATCATTACTGTTTCCGCAACGTACTCGTCCTCAACGTCATCAGGAGTTGTCTCCCGCACATATCGGAGATTTCGCCCGCCATGAATCGAAGTTGCTACATCCCCTCGTTGCGGGTGTAACTGATCGAATCCTTATGTTAAGGCAGATTTTCTTGTGCCTCAATATTGTGTGTGATGTTGACATCGTTAGCTGCCATTTTCCACAATTTTTGCTATGAAACCAAGAATCAAATAAGTTAGTAATAGATGAAAGGATCAACTCAATTAAGCAGCTGTCTAGGCCCCACGGTGGGCGCCAAACTGTTTACCTATAAAATAGTATAGTTGAATTTGTTATGTGGTTTACAGACAAGGGAACTGATTTGATCCCAAAATGATAAATAAATTAAATGAAAATACAAGACTTAGCATTGAAATAGAGATAAATAGCAGACAGCTTGTTCCAGGAGCAAGGCTTCCGAAGACAGCGATAAGAACAATATTAGACAGAAAATAAAGTATTATTTAGCTTGAGAATAATGTATAGCATAAGTTTTGTCAGAGATGTCCTCTCTACAATAGTTGTTGAAGCTCATATTTATTAGTTATACCTTGGGAACAAGATCCTAGGATCAAACCCCTCGTAAATGACAATAATGGGGCCATAGATGAATATGTAACAGTAGGGCATGAATGCCAAAATTCTCTACAACGTTGCGTATTTAATACTGAGGAATATTCTTGATTAAATGTCATCCGATGACAAACATTCATTTGCCTCAGTTGACTGCGTTCCCTTTGGAATCTACCCGATACCAACCGAAACAGTTATCCTCGATCTTGGTTCCCACTCGCTTCATCTTCCGTCTACCTCCGGCTCCACGTGTCATGTAATCATTCGAGCATTTAATATAAATTAATTTTATCCTATGCAATTTCTTTATGTAAAAATTTAGGAACTATGTGACTTTGGTCTTTGGGTTGTGTTATTATATCTTTTGCAGAAAAACAAATAAAATAAAGAAAGTGTCTTACTATGCCACAACTCAATTCCATTTTAATCCACAAATTGTTGACTTGTTTTTTTTCTTCACATTTAAATTGCAATGAGAAAAATACATATACTTATAACTTACGGCCAATTTTATTTGACTTTTTTTTTATTTTGAACTGAAATATAAACATTTCCGTTTGTTCGCGTAAGATTGATCGATTAATTTTTATGTATTAAACAAAATAGTAACTTTACGTGTGTGCTTAGTAACTTTACAGCGTAAAATGCGAAGTAAACTGAGCTAGATACAGAACATTACATTGAATTTTGAAAGTTAGGCCAGTGTAGATATTTGGATCTTTAGAAGTGTTCTTATATTATATATGAGGTTAATAACATTTACTGTTGTGGCATGTAGCCATGGATTGCATTTAAAAGGTGTCCATATAAAACAAGAATAACATCTCTTTACATGTTGACTAATCAAACAAAGCTTGTTGTAAGTCTGTTTTTGTTAGTAAAGTATACTAATAGAGTAAATATTAGTATTAATTTTCAAATGCTTTCATTTCTTCTCACAAAATCCAGTCTATGATTCACCAGGTCTCCAATATATTGAAATACATTTTCACACATCAAAAATCTGTCAAAAATACATTTTAACTTGAACAAAGTCATTTCGATTCACTAAACCTCTCTAATCAAATAAAAATGTTTTCCAAAACCCCATTTTGCTTCAAAGACATTTGCTTAATACTCACCTTTTTCTCATTCTTTTTTCTTTCTCTCAATTACCATCGTTCTACCTCCATTTTCCAAAAATTAACCTCATTCTCCTCCACAATCACAGCCGCCACCAACAAAAACTCTCCGACCACCGTTAACCACCTTGTTTTCTCAATTGCTTCTTCCTCTAAAACCTTTTCCAAACGCAAAGAACTCCTCCCTCTATGGTACAAGCCTAACTCAACGAAAGCTTATGTATTTTTAGACCACACTCCATCGGATAATTCTCCAAAAAACATCGATCTTCCACAAATTTTAATTTACGAAAACACTTCTCGTTTCCCGTATACCCATCGTAAAGGGGCTCGTTATGCCATTGGCATAACGTGCATGATAAAACAAGTGGTCGCACGTGACGATCCTAACGTGCGATGGTACATTTTTGGAGATGACGATACAGTATTTTTCGTGGATAATTTGGTGAAGACGCTAGAAAAATATGATCATAATGAATGGTATTATATAGGGTCTAATTCAGAGAGCTATGCTCAAAATGCTTATTTTTCATTTGATATGGCATTTGGTGGTGGCGGATATGCGATAAGTCGACCTTTGGCTAAAGCTTTAGCTGGGGTTTTGGATTCTTGTTTGATGCGGTACCCAAATCTCTATGGTAGTGATGCTAGAATTTTCTCTTGCTTGGCAGAACTTGGCGTAAGTTTAACACATGAACCTGGTTTTCACCAAGTAAGTAAAATTTTAATAATGTTACTCTCTTGTAGTTACTGTATTAGTT